GGTATGGTATTTTCGAAGTAACCACAAAAGGAAATAAGATCTCCTTTCTTTATATGAAACCAAGACACTCTCCCCTATAAAAGACCACCTACGGACAAGAAAGAGGGGGGCTTTTCTTTTGTGTCTGATCACACACAAGAAACACAGAAAGAAGAGACAAGAGAGAAGAGAGAGAAGATTTATCTGCTTCCTCGGGTGCGTGTCTCCACGATCACGACCGAGAGCTCCACGACCAGACTCTGTTTCTTGCTGCTTTCGGACCGCCTCGTGGCTGTTCTTCCGCTCATCGCTGTGTCATTTAAGTAAGTCGGCGGCAGTCCGTGAAGAAGTTGCCGCTGCTGTGCCCACCTTCGACGACAACCCAGGAGTTGCTGCTTCCACTGATCCGCAGTGGTTCGTGGAGTCCACCTTGCTGTTGCGACACCATCGTGAACCACCACACAGCTGAACACCGAGATCCCTTTGGTCGAGACCTCATCTTCGGCCACACTGCTAGTTCACCGAGCCGAGGAGCCCATCACCACGAGCACCACCGTCGGCCATCGCAATCCGAGCCATCCCGTCGAGTTTGAAATTGGAAACGCTATTCAGGTGGTGTTGCGAATTAGGTAAGAATCTTCATTAATTCGATTTTCGTATATTTTGTTGCCTAATTTGTGAAATTGCAGTATTGTTTGGATCTTCGAATATTATTCATATCCATGAAATCCTCAGGTAGATTTAAATTAGGAATTATTTCCTAATTTCATAACGTGCTATGGTCATCAATCCGATCTCTCGCCCGAGATATGATTCGTGACCGCACGGAAATCGTCAATCCGATCTTCCGCCAGAGATATGATTCGCGATTGTGCGGAAGATTGGCCAATCCGATCCTCATGCCCGAGATATGATTTGTCAATCTATCGTTTCTAAATTTAAATGGATATGGATAATATTTCTTGTGATTGGGTGTCGTGTTCATTTCATTGCTATTTCTTTCCGTCTTTTGTTTGAATTAAATTGATCATCTTTCCATAAAAAATACAAAAAAGATTAAGTAAAATTTGAGTAGATAATATATTGCATGTTTAGGATAAATTTTGATTATTTTCTTAGAATATATTAGATTCTTTTCTTAGATATTATTATTACATGTTTAAATTAGGTTAATTATTTATTCCGAATTTAAATTAAAAAATATAAAAATACCACGTGCATGTCATATTAGAGTAGTTGCATATTAATTAATTCTCGTCATTAGAAATCTAATGCCTAGGTCCATTTGCGTGTCATATTAGAGATAGTGCATTTAATTGTTGCTAGAATTAGGGCATTTAAATAAATTGTATGTCGCATGTCATGTTAGACGTATAATGCATTGCATAAAGTTTAGTTTTCATTGAATCGGAGAAAACCCTAAAAAAGGATTTGAGTGAAATTGCGTGTTAATTAGAAATCATATTAGAGCTGTTGATGTGATTTTCTAACTAACATTGCAGAAGCTTTCATTGCTTCGAGGTAAGTTTTCCTCATCTTTGCAATTTATTTAGTGCTTTGCTTTATTGAGTGTTATATTATTGGTTGCGCACCCGTATGATCACATCGCATGTTAGTAGATAGGTTTAGAATCAATCCAAGCTGCCTGCAAATATTTTTGAAATAAAAGAGAAAAGGTACTGAAAGGGCATTAGAGTAATCTAGTGTAACAAAGTCTCCGAATTCATAATCTCTGGTTTGTAGGAGTAAAGTAATTCTCCCAATACTTTACTTGGATTTCTAATCGACCCAGCAAAAAATAGATTAGTGGCGACTCCTGATTGAAATAATTTTGCATGTTAAGAACTTGAACCTAAGTTGTGAATTGGTATGGGCTTGGAAGAGCCCGAGTTAAGTCTAGGCTTAATAATCCATTAGCCGAACCCTGGGTGGGGCACCGCGGGAGGTGAGGTCGCGACATTCGTGTTTTTAGATTGTTCAATTAATTTAGTGTTCGACATGCTTAGCAATGAGTTAAGGACACGCTGCTTGGAGACCCTCCCGAAATGAACCCCGAAGCGGATGATGCCCAGAATTTGCCAAACATCTGAGATGATTCAACATTCTGTTCTAGAGTTTCCATTGATTCATATTCTGTATGCGCCCACTTAGTTTAAAATGATCACTCTGGAACGATATTTCAGGAGGATCGCCTGTTGAATCGCTCTTGAACCGAGTTTTCAAATGTTAAATATAATATACATCAATTTTAGGGATTGAAGAAGTTTGAAGTCACACAGTAAACATCCACCAGAGTAGTAATAGTCCTATCGAACTATGCTCTTTTGCAGACTGTTTATGACAAGGACACATTCACCGTGAACCACAAAATGGGAGAGGCCAAGATCGACATAAAGCCGTACATAGATGCCATAGAGATGCACCTGGAGAACCTCCTGACCCCCACCATGGTCGCCAGAGTCCAGCATTCAAAGGGCAACTGCCTGGCGGATGAGAGCTCGATCGTGTGGAAAGACGGCAAGATCTACCAGGACATGGCGCTCCGGTTGAGTAATGTTGAGTCCAGCGAGGTGGAGATCCAGCTGGCGTGGATCGACCTCGCCGGCGGCTCTCGACGCCTGTGAGTTTCTCGAGGGATCGCTGGTGAAGACGGCGCGTGTTGTGATCGTCTGTGGATTGCCTTGGAATATGAATGCATTGACCGAGTTTAGTAGATGAACTAATGGATCGAGCGATCCTCACGTTGTGTGATAGTTTCGGTGGATTGAATAAGTCTTTGCTTGCAAATTTTCTAGATATGATGAAGTGAGACATGGATACTTCACCCCATAATCGGCGAGGGACAAAACCGATAGATCATGCAGAGGAAAAGCGTGCATTATGCCAAAAGAAGAAAAGAAATTCTATGGTGCACGAGAAAAATTGTATAGAGCTTACTCAATCACCTAACTTAATGCATTGGCCGATAACATATTCAAATTGCTGCTACTAACATCCAATCACTATTGGAAATGGAGGTCAAAATAATAGTCTGAGCTAAGCCCATTATGAGGGTTCTTTCGAGCCTTATCTTGGACTTAGCTACATTTGAGGCATGTTTTGCTAAGATTGAGCTCAACTTGGGTCTGAGTTCAGCGTCCATTAAGTACAAGAATGTCACCCATTTTCTCACTTCTTTGCATTGCAGCCATAAGATCTGCCTCTGAAAAATAACGAATCGCAACATGCCAACTTTAATACTTTGCCGTGACGGTTCTGCCTTTCGGTGCTAAAAGAATGAATTTTCTTCCGCGAGGGTCAATTTCTGAAAGAATGTTTTTCTTTCCCGCCTCATTTTCACTTCGGATCATGCTTTACGATGGAGGAAATTTTCACGTTACCGGTCTCTAATTTGATGATTAGAAAACATGCATATTGCGGAAATGTAAAATTAGGGTGTGTTTGTTTTTATCAAAATGATTTCCACGAATTGGTTTTTCAAATTTCATGTGCTTGATTTGTAACACTTATTTTGGGCTCCGTTTGTTTCGCAGAAAATATTTTTCTAAAAATAATCGTTCATATCGCTTGAAATAATTAGTCAACAAAAAATATTTTCATTATCGACAATAATTCAAGTATAAATATTTTCGTGAACGATGAAATTATTTTTCGTTCATTCTATTTTGGAACGATAAAAGCGATTATTTTTAGGAAAATATTTTCTGAACCATTCATTTCTCGCGAAACAAACGCACCAATGTGAAAAGCTTCATATAAACCCACTATGTAGAAATTGAGAAGAGAAAAGTTCTTCAACTAAAAAGAAAGTAAAATATTATACTTTCACCATAAGTTGGACTTGGTTATGTTTCAATGTTCTATATTGGCGTTTTCTTAGATCCCTTTCGCTGGATTGAGTTCATATTACTAGAAATTACAATGTTTTGTTCATTCTGAGGTGATCAGTTCCCAGGTAGGCCAGTTCTCACCTAGGAACCAGGGACCGGTTCCCCGTTTTTGAAACCGGGAATCGGCCCACCTAGTCCTGAAACCGGTGACATATTCTGTTTTTTTTTCTTTTTAAGTATGTAGTCCATAATTCTTTACAGGTAATGCACAAATCACAAACAATTGTGTCCTTGAGGACATCAAGTTCGACAACCGATATAAAGGAGCCGATTGACGAGTGAAAATCATAGAAAGGAGAAAAGCTTCAAAGGGACAAAGATAGACAGAACAAAGACAGCTAGCAGGAAAAGAAATGACCCAAATTTATTCAACAATCTCAAACATAAATAGAACAAAGATAGGTAGCAGGAGCTCATTCGTCAACGGTTTCGAAGTAGTTCTCAGAAACAAGTGTCCAAGAGACATCAGCATCGAATTTCATGAAAAACCTCACTAATCTCAAGGATATGGTAAAACGCAATTTCTAAGTCTAGGTGAATGGTCCAACTGACATGAACTTCTGATTTGCTCCGAGTGATTTGAGGAGTTGAACTTGAGTTGTGCGCCTAATTTTCACACAAAAAAATTTCATTCCTCGACTGCTGTAAACCAACCTCCACCAGATTTATGTTGTATGCATCTCTTTTACATAAAATAATTTGAATGGAGTAGTAATATAAGAATATGGTAAAATTTGCATCACTCGTTTCGAACGTTTTGGTTTGTCTATGGTCTTTTTTTAATTTTTCACGTACTGGAAAGCAAATTTCAGCCACAAAAAATACGAAATTATCATACCACATGCAAAAAAAACAAATTGTAAACACAACTGGCTGAACTTAGACACACAAAGCACTACTTATATTATATATTTAAACTGGAGTACATACACCATGCATTGGTGAAAGCTTACACACTTAGTAGTAGGCAACTAAACATCTTTTCATGCTTCCATAGCATGTTATTGAATACTTTAACCGCGCGTAATTGGTTCACCATTTTAAGCATATTTTTTCAATGCCTGAGGGAATAGTTGGCTGCCGCCTTGAGCAAGGGAATAGTTCCCAATAGTTGGGAACCGGATCTTTCGAGTAAGTCAGTGTCACTGTCACCTTGCAGCCATTGTGTTCCGCAGAGAACTCAAAATTCACCGTCAGGGTATCGTAAATTTTTTTGGGCACTTCTATGTCGAACCAAGTCCATGTGACGAACTTCGTCTGTTCAATGCATTCCACTTTGATTTTCCAGTTTGCGCCTGCGGTATGTTTTTTTTGTAAAACAATCTCAATAATCATATATATATTTTATAGATTCTAAAATAAAACAAGATAGCTTCATGGCTCGTGAATCATATTATCATTTTCAGTCTCATAACTGGTCAGGAGGTTCATCTTAGACCATTTAACATAAATCTGTTCGAAAGGCTCTTAAGTTTAATTATTGATCTTCTAAAACACAATTTTCTAGGGTCCTGCTAAGATAACGGCGCTGTTACACTGAGAATGACGGAGGATTTTCCACCGCTTGTTTCTTTACGTGGCAACAGCCAACCGGGACTGAGGTGAGATCCATCAGCAGTTACTTCACCAAGACTGCTTCAACCCTGATTTTATGAAAGGAAATAAAAACACATAATTCCTCCAGGACATGGATCCCCAGGAGAAAAGAAGCTTTTGAAATACTGGTGCGTAGACCGACAAAAGGAACTAGCATAATCATAAATTGCAGCTTTCATTTTTACTGTGCTCATTTTTTTAAACCATTTATATAATGATTCTCGTTGGCTATTAAAAAGTTAAATGAATTTTTTGGAATCCTACTAGCATGACCAAAACGAATTTTAGACGGTGGATATTGATTCAAAATTAAACAAAAAAAAAAGACATCACGTAGTCAAACGCCGGAAATTCGCATATTATAAATATAAATGTTCACTTTTAATAAAGTTTTGCACTTATAACATAAATCGGAAATTCTTCGTATGCTATCATAACCGCAATATTAAAAAATTCGTTGTTGCACTTGGTTACAATAAAACTTCGTTAAACATCGTCATGAAATACTTGAAAATTTTGAATTATTGAAATATCAGAATTGGTTCGTTCTTCACATTTTTTAAATTTTACGACACTATCTCTTTGACCTTTATTTATCACGAAATATTTGGAAAATGTTCAAAATTTTCAATAGCAAATATGAATTGTACAATTGATTCGTTTTCAAAACTTAGAGAAAAGTCTAAGTAATAAGTTTCTACTATAAATAGAAATATTTTATCTAAAACGGGTGTCTTATTATTATTATTATTATTATTATTATTAGTAGTGGTGGTGGTATTATTATTATTTACATTTTCTTGAAATTCTTTCTTAGTTTGCGTCCAAAATTAAAAGACAATGTTGTAGGAATTGGACAAGCCGGTCATAAGGTTCCAAGCAACACTTTTTTTGGTTAATGATGCTCCGTTACTCATGCAAAAAGTGACTGACCGTTATGTAGGCATTTCCCTATTTCCTAATACCATCTTTAGGCAATCTAGCGATCCATGGGTTACTACTTTCCTATCTCGGTTTAGTTAAAAAAATTTCCAAGTTTGTTCATTTCAGCTAACTCAATTCAGCTAGAAAAAAAATAAAGAAAATATAATGAAAGAGAAAGATCTAAGACTCTTTTTTTATCGTCCATCCACAAAGAATAACATTTCGATACAAATAAGTTCCTTTTTCTTCTAAAAAGGAAGTACACATCTCAAACCTTTGAAGTCACGACATTCCTCACGACCAACGCACATGTATCTTTACTAGTTTTACTTCAACACATCAAGTCAGAAAAAAGTACTTCTTTAGAAATGGCATGTGCCAAGTCCCATTTAAAGGTGGTGAAAATTATCACTACATGCTAATCCTTAAATTAACATAGGACTCCAGTTCAGTTAGAATTCACATGCGTAATACATGTGTGTCTTCTCGCCTCCTCAACTTAGAAACTAGTAAAGACTATACAACGAAAAAACTTATCCAACGTTAGTGATCATTAATCGAAGCTATGTCCTAGGGTTCCCAAATCAAAGCTCATGGAACAATAATCAAATGTCGAGATCTTCCACGGGATGAAAGATTAATGATTGACACTGGCGTTATACGTTAGCTGTAGTTGTTGAACTCATGACAATGAATTATCAACGACAATCGCATTGTTTATCGATGGAACTGTCAATCACAAAACAAAGAACACGGAGAAAATTACCGTTTTTGTGATTAATAAGACGCCGAGACAACTAATTAATTAAGAAAGAAAGAAGAGAAAGATATGAAATGGGATATGGGAATTAATGTGACTAGATTAAGTGACAATTTTTTGGACCTACCACCAATCCAAGTTCAGAGCCATGTATCATCTTCGAACCTTGTCACATTCATAAGTCCAGGACAGAATTCTTGGAAGAGCTCCAAATTGGTCCCGAAGATTTCATATAACCCATCAGTTGATGCATTCAACTCCAATTGACGCACCAAAGAACCCCCCGATAGATTCGCGGCCGAGTGCGCCATATTCTCTCTTTTTGCTCTTGTAAATAAAAAAAGGTTCGGAAACTATGTAGAGAAAGTGGATGTTGTAGCTAGAACTGTACAAATGGGCAGCTGGCACTGAAGCCAATTTATAGAAATGCTTGGGCCTTCTGGTTAGCGATTTTACATTTTTTCGAATCGCTCACACCCAAAACCTCGCACGACAGGGTGCGCGCATTAATTAGTGTCAGATGCACCGGTAATGAAAGCTCACTACGGTGAGTAATGATATCAATGATGACGTCATGACAATGAAGTCATGTGGATAAATTAAATGGTCGAACCAAGACCGATATCATTTATTGTCTTAAGCAGTTGTAACTAAAGATATTGGCTATGAGCCCGTGACTTCAAATATTGAATATGCACATTCACATTTAGAGTCTGTATCTATACGAGCAAGTCAATTTCTCTCTCTCTCTTTTTATCTTTTGTATACTAATAATTGAAGGTGGAAGTGTGTTCAGGTGAGGAACCTACGTATTGAGAGGCAGTTTTATGGTACAAAGTTAAAAGAGGACTAGTGGTGCTGTAATTGAATTCAATTATGGTCGTCGATTCTATCCTTCAGCACTCCGTCCAACAAAGTGAATGTGATGGACATCGCCGTGTTATTGATGGCTTCCACAGTGTCCTTCCAGCTTCCCCAATTATCTGCGGGATTTTTTTTTTTTTGGGAAATCAATCTCAGTAGCCAATATTTGTTTTTTTTTAGAGATTCTAAAATAAAACTAGAGAGTTTCATGACTCGTGAATCATATTGTTGTTTTGAGTCTGGTTGCTGGTCGGGAAGTTCATCTTAAACCATTTAACATAAACTTGTTCGAATAGTGCGCTAAAGTTTAATTATTGATCTTCTAAAACACTAAATAAACTAGTAGTACGTATTGGTGGTGCTATTCCCCTAAAAATAAAGCAAAACTTTGCTTTTCTACGTCTTGAAAAGATGTAAACAAGAGCCTGAGTGTGACGAACAAAATTGATGTCCTAGAGCCCCATTCTTTGTGGTCGTCATTGAATCAATTAGAAACATCAAAGTTAGGTTTCTCATTGGAGACTAAGACTGGGATCATCAGATATAGCATGGCCTAATATGGGTGTCCAGTTTTGAGGAATCTATGCGTGGCATGTCTCAATGTCACCATATTTATGTGACGGTTGAAGAATTGTCCTTCTTGTTGACTATCTAGGGGCTTCCATAACATGTGATTCACGCAAAAATCCTAAATAGGACCACACTAGGACGATGCATAAGTCATTGCCGCGTACTATTTATTGTGCTTTCCACGTGATAAGCGAAGCTCAATCCCGTTCCCTCATATCAAATCAATCATATTTTAAGTGCATACCCACGGTCTCGCCAAACGAATCATTAATTTCTATATGGATCTAGCTTTACGGTCCATAGAACGTGATCTATACATGGTGAGGCGTGCAAATACCTGCAAAATAATTGCAAGTCCTCCCTAAGGAAGCACTAGATATGACACATATCTGTCCATTATTTAGAGCTAACGAAGCACTAGCTATGTGGGGAACCTAAGGAAGAAATGTCGACACATTAATGATACGAATCTATTCTAGAAAAAACTTTATATTTCATTGATCACAGTTTTTCATGCATTGATAACATAAGACGCCAATTAGCCCCTTTAATTAGGTGGATCACTTGAACCTGTGCGATGACATGATAATCTCTTCAGCGAGAGAATCAAGTAAAAAAATTTATTTTTGATGTAGCTAACTAGTGGAATGGGTAAAAAAGTTAATGAGATCAAAATTTGCTAAGGAGCCACGATTTAAAACTGGTTATCGGTCTTCGTGTTAGGAAAAATATCTTATGCATTGGCCGCATTATTGACTCGTGGAATATCGATAATCTTTTCCTTGGATCCACGGATGAATTGTTGTTTCGAGGAAAACTCAATGATAAAGGAAAATATTTTCTGAAAAATCATTTTCCAGGAATACGCTTAGTTTTTCTTTGTTTGGTGATACACGATGGAAATCGTTTTCTGATGTTTGGATTTCATCAGAGAATAATTTCAATCTCATGATTTTATTCCAGGCAAAAAAAAGTTGATTTTTTAATATTTTTTTAAAGACTCGAATTTTTAATTATTTTTTCTTTTTTCTTTTCTTTTTTTGAAAAAAATTGGAATTTTTTTTTATTTTTTAGTTTTATTTTTTCTCTTTTTTTCTGCCCTTTTCTATTTCCTCAGCTGGGATTGGCCGGCAACGACTACAAGCGAGCTCGAGCTTGCCAGCCTCAGCTGAGCCCAAGCTCGCCCGGATCGGGCGAGCCCCAAGCTGGCCGGCCTCGGCCGAGCCTAGGCTCTCCTGGATTCGATGAGCCGCGAGCTCGCCATCCTCGGGCGAGCTCGAGGATCGCCGCCAGAGGCCGCGATCTCGCCGGCCTTAGGCAAGCTCGAGGTTCGCCGCCAGAGGCCGCTGCGAGCTCGCCTCCAGAGGTCGCCACGAGCTCACCGGCTGTTGTCGTGGCCGGCAATCGGCTTGAGGAAGAAGAAAAAGAAAAAGGAAGAAAAGAAAAAAAAAAGAAAAAGAAAGAAAAGAAAGGAAAAGAATAAATAATTCTATTTTTTTAAAAATAATAAAATTTTATTTTTTAAAAAATAAATAAATTAATAAATATTCGATTTTTTCATTAAATATTTTTATAAAAACAATAGTTTCATTAACTAAGGACCCGACCTCGAGCGCCGAGGACTTGCGCACGGCCTTTGTGGATTCGGGCCGGAGGGTTGGGACTAGAGCTCGAGCACCGGGGACCTGAGCATGGCCCTTATGGACCCGAGTTCGGGTGCCTGAGCATCGGGTACGAGCACCAGGGGTTCGAGCTCAGCCTCGATGGACCCGGGTGTGGGTGCCGGGTGCTCGGGCTTTGGACTCCGAGGTCTCGAGCCCGGCCACCAAGACTTGGTCCTGAATGTCAGGACTCGGGAGCCAATGTTGGAGTTTTCGTGCTCAAGCGTAGAGTTTCGGGTCCAAGCTCTGATAGATAGTCATACTTGGGAAAACGTTTTCCGGTTCTTTTAAAGAGGAAATCACTTTCCTAAATTTAAGCTTTGGTAAGAAAACCTTTTCCATTGACTAGGAAAATATTTTCCGTTGACTCATTTTCCTAAGCAAACCAAACGCTAGAAAATGAAGAAAGTGTTTTCTCGAAAAATGTTTTCCGCGAAACAAACGGACCCTAAATCATGTCTCGAATTCAGGTGGTTTATAGAAAGTCCATCCTGTTTGGAAGATATAGATTGGTTCGTTAAACCAAATCTTTAACAAAATCCTAAAAGATTTTGCTCTTTTTTTTGGGATAAGTGTATTGAAAATCCTAAAATTTGGCACGAAAGTGCAATTAAGTCATAAAACTTTCAAAAAGTGGAATTAAGTCTTAAAACCCATCACAAAAGTGCAATTGAGTCCTAAAACTTTCGAAAAGTGCAATTAAGTCTTAAAACTTGTGAAAAAATGCAATCTTTAAAAGTTTTAGGACTCAATTGAATTTTCGTGACAAGTTTTGGGACTTGATTGTACTTTTTGAAAGTTTTAGTACTTAATTGCACTTTCGCGATAAATTTTAGGACTTGATCGTACTTTTTGAAAGTTTTAGAACTCAATTGCATTTTCGTGCCAGGTTTTAGGAATTTTAATATATTTATTCCTTTTTTTAATAAGCAGGTGGATTTCTTTCGGGCGGTGGTTTTTCCGTAATTATCCAATGTTTGATCAAGACTTAGACTTCTTAATAAAACTGTACAGTGGACGTTTAAAATAAAAAACAAAGAATGTTGGCCGCACATTATATTGATTCAGACGCTTGTTGTTGCTGGCCAGAGTATTATTGGAAGTTTTGTTACTTTTTTTCAAGCCACACAGTAGGAGTACTGATGTGCCGGGAGCTTTACATTCAAATTGAATTATTTATTTATCAATAATGTGCATTTGGGCTTAATTTACGTGGGAAACATTAACTCGCACGACAGGGTGCATTAACTAGTGTTAGATGCACCGGTAATGAAAGCTCACTACGGTGAGCGATGATATCAATGATGACGTCATGACAATGATGTCATGGGAATAAATTAAATAGTCGAATCAACACCGATCTCATTTATTGTTTCAAGCAGTAGTAACTAAAAATATTAGCTGTGAGCCCGTGACTTCAATTATTGAATATGCACATTCGCATTTAGAGTCTGTATCTATACGAGCAAGTCAATTTCTCTCTCTCTCTTTTTTTTATCTTTTGCATACTAATAATTGAAGGTGGAAGTGTGTTCAGATGAGGAACCTACGTATTGAGAGGAAGTTTTATGGTACAAAGTTAAAAGAGGAGTAGTTGCGCTGTAATTGAATTCAATTATGGTCGTCGATTCTATCCTTCAGCACTCCGTCCAACAAAGTGAATGTGATGGACATCGCCGTGTTATCGATGGCTTCCACAGTGTCCTTCCAGCTTCCCCAATTATCTGCGGATTTTTTTTGTTTGGGAAATCAATCTCAGTAGATAATATTTGTTTTTTTTTTAGAGATTCTAAAATAAAACTAGAGAGTTTCATGACTAGTGAATCATATTGTTGTTTAATTTGAGTCTGGTTGCTGGTCGGGAAGTTCATCTTAAACCATTTAACATAAACTTGTTCGAATAGTGCGCTTAAGTTTAATTATTGATCTTCTAAAACACTAAATAAACTAGTAGTACGTATTGGTGGTGCTATTCCCCTAAAAATAAAGCAAAACTTTGCCTTTCTACGTCTTGAAAAGATGTAAACAAGAGCCTGAGTGTGACGAATAAAATTGATGTCCTAGAGCCC